TCTATTTATTTATTTAATAATATATAAAAATTATATAAAAAATTGTTCAAATATCACTTGCCATAAAACAATTGGCTATTGCCATGTTGATTATGCAGGAGACCACATTGGTTTTTCTTTTTAAAGTTTATACACTGTTGTAGTAGAAAACAAACTTTTTAAATTAAATTGATAAATTCTTAATAATTAGTGGACCAATTATGAAATTTAGCCCTTTCAAAATATTCTACATTATTTTTTCTTTAATAATATTATTTTCTATTTAACATATGAGAAAAGTAAAAATTATAATATTAAATCTGATTTAAATAATAAATATATTATTTAAGTGGAATCAACTCGTTCTATTTGATTTTTTTTTTTTAACAAGGTTATAATTTTTAAAGAGAAAAAATAAAACTTTAATCTTTAACCCTCGAGTTGAGAGATACACCTTACAAGTTAAGTTGTAGCCGTTGGTCGTGCGGCGCAGGGCGCAGGTGAAACTCGTTCTATTTGTTTTATAATTGAAATTGAACCATTGCATTTTTAACATCAAAAACATCTTAATCTTTCTATGTTCTCTTCACATATTCATTTTCTAGATAAAACGTCAAAAAGACAACTTGTTAATTTCCCCACAACTTCTTATTTTTTACGTTCCTCGCCAAATATTTTCTGACCCGACATCTAACCATAAACAAACAGGCCCCAAATCTCAAATTTTGTTTTTTCCCAGTTTCTCAGGTGAATATTTGTGTAAGAAAAAAAAAAAATGGCGTAACCCTCGTATCCATCCCTTAAATAGGATGGTAAAGGCATATTCTTCTCTAAAAAAATAGAAAAGTAAATTATCTTTTCAAATTATAAATTAATATAAATAATTTATTTTTTAATTTATGATATCAATTTTTTCATTGACTACGTAAGTATTTTTTAACCAAAAAAAAATGATATCATACATTTAAAAATAAATAATTTATCTTAATTTATAATTTTAAAAAATAATTGATTCTTGTATTATTATTATTATTATTATTATTTTATATTAATTACATAACGAAAAATAACCCTTTCATATCCCTTATTACACTTCACTTATATATAATGTGATTTAAATTTAAAATCTCTTATTTCCAATAAAAAATTTATCACTAAATTACTTATATAATTCCTATATCCTTGTATTATTTTAAGAACTGATCTATGCCGACTTTATTTGAGTGGATAAAGGGTTTTGCTAAAAAAAAAAATGAAAAGCGGTGTCGGGGATCGATTTTCAACCGCTGATGGGCATCCACCAAACAACAGCATCCACGGTGATCCACGATTCCAGGGACCACATGCACCAGTTAACCCGGGCCCAACTCGACAAGAAAAATGTCCCCAGCTGATTCACATCCACACATCCAACGATGGTTATGATGCTGAATCTAAATGGTGGATGATGGATCACTGATGCCAATCAGCTTCCACTCCCAAATCAAAGGACGGCCCACGACACCTGACACAATCAGCATATTCAGCACACCTGGCACAATCCCATATATCACTCCACACCCCAAATGGGCCCCATTGTACAGTCCCCACCCAGAAAATGGTGGCAAAGAAGCGGTAGAAAAGAGGAATCATGTTCATGGCGGTCGAGTGAGGAGAGCTTTAAGAATATCCTTCCTCTTTTCTACATCCTTTTGCACATTCCCCATTTTCTTTTCTTCTCCTTGGTTCAGTGTCTTTGAAGAAAAAGAGAGAAAAGCTCAGGATTTTGATGAATGTTAATGGGGTAAAGGAATGAGATGGGGTGGTGTGGTGAGGTGAGGTGACAAAGACAACACTCCATCTCTTGCTTCATTTCGAGAAACAGGAGGAGGAAAGGGAAAGGTTTTTGCTTTCTTCTATCCCAGAAAATTCCATTCCCTTTCTTGTAAGTTTCTTCTCCCTGGCATTGTATATTCTTTGGATGCTGCTCATATTTTCATTTTCTTTTCAAAGCTCATCAAGGTGATGCCTTTTTGTAACATAACATCAACATGGGTCTCCATTCTTCCTCCCCGTGCGTTCCCAAGTTATTGTTACTTTGAATCTGAATTGGGTCACATTCTGACCCTTCTTTTTGCTTAAATTTCTGGCCTTTTTCCTTCTCTTTTAAGTCTGGGTTTTCGTCTGTCCTCCATTAGTTTTCTGGGTTTTATGTTTTCCAAACATGGTATTCTCACCTCTCTTCCTGTATATTTTAATGTCGTTTTGAGACCTTTTTTTCTCTCTCTCTCTCTCTCTCTCTCTCTCTCTCTTCTTCAATTCAAACAGCATTTACTTTTACTTTCTGGATTTCAGCTCGGGAGGCATATCTATGTACATTTTCTTTTCATGTATAGTTCTAATATCGCAAAATTTCTTTCTATTTGTCGCTTGATGCCTTGATTATTGCTTCGTTGTCTGTGGTTTTAACTATTTCATTTTGGCATTAACCACTTTTATAGTGTTTCAAAATTGATGTACCATAGTTGGGTTTACAGTATTCTGCTAATACTCTCCCAGCACCTAATGAATGTAGCTATCATTCCTGTAAAAGAGGAATAATATGGAAATGCTGCTTCCTCTTTCTGCCTATTTGGTCCTTTTTCATTGAAATAGAGGTGGTGTTTTTGGATCTGATCACCATGGTATGAAGTATGAACAGTTTGTAGTTCCGCAGTTTTTAAGTCCTATTGTCTCCAATTAGCTCAATGGAAGCCGTCTTTTAAGTTTTAACTTTTTCCTTTACCTGTAATTTCACTCCTCTCAGATCTCTTTTACTTAACTTCCCTACTTATTTCATAAGGGTTTTATTTCCATTGCAGGTTCTGCCTTTGGTCGGTCTTAACTACTTGGCAGGTACTTGCATAAACCATTTTTTCTCTCTGCAGTGGTATCAGGCATAGAGTTGTTTGGTTTTGTGTATATGGTGCTTTCTGATGTTCTTTTATATAAATGTATTCTTGTGTGATTTGAAAGGATGGGGGATCATTTTGTCTTGCTGATGGACCAACTACTAACTGAATCCACTCTTGAAGCTGCTATTGAGAGAAATAACAAATTACAGCAAGCCATGTCTTCAGCAAGTAAAGATAATATGGCTGATTTTTCTTCCAATATGATGGATGAGCATATTGGTTCATCCCATGGCAAGTTGGTACAATGTAGAATTTGCCATGATGAGGATGAAGATTCAAACCTGGAGATACCATGTTCTTGCTGTGGTAGCTTGAAGGTTAGTTGGATCTGCTTCTTTTTCTTGTTTGGTTTGACCTCAAAGTTATAAATGTCTTTTCCTTAACTTAAAGGGTATTTGTCGCTCTTTCTGACCAATGGACATACGAATGGAAATCAAGATCTGAATCAACGCTTTAGTAGTTTTGTAAAGTAGCTAAAATTTGGTTACTTCATATGGTTTCCCTTGAAAGCACAGGCAGTGCCGCTTGACTTCATAATCAAGGATCTAATCCTGGACTAAAGTGATTGATTTTAATTGAGTAAACAAACTTTAAGGTATCATGCATTTGTTGTTGAAGGCTTCAAATCCTTGTGTGTAGTAGGTGGTCACTTGACATTAGTTTCAACTGCTCTACTAAACTATATCATCTTAAGCCGCCAATTTGATAGAGGAAACTATACATATTGCATCCTCATTCTAATTTATTTTGTTGGCTTCTAAAATATTGCCACTCGTTTTGGCTAATTCCAATGAGATAACTTCTCTTTTCTGCCCTGTTTTCTGCCCTGTTCTTGAATATTGCAGTATGCTCACCGCAAATGCATACAGAGGTGGTGCAATGAAAAGGGTGACACCACCTGCGAGATTTGCCAACAGGTCCACCATCATTATATTTGTTTCAGATCAACACATTATTATTCCTTTATTTTAAATTGAATTTCAAAGAAAATGCTTACATTTTTTTCATTTTATTAAAATGCTTAAAAATTTGCAGCAATTTACGCCTGGTTATACGGCACCAACCCCTTTGTTTCATTATGGTGGTATTCCAATGAACTTTCGGTATATCTTGACTACTCAATCCGTATTACCATTGAACTTAAAAAAATGATGTTGTTACTTTTTTTTATTCATTAAGGAAAACTTGCAATATTCTCTCAGGGGAAATTGGGAAGTGTCCAGGAGGGACCTGCAGAATTCTCATTTTATGGCAATGGTGACTACCACTGATCATGATTTTCTGGAGCCTGACCTTGATGACTATGCTCCCAGTTCTAGAAGCCTATTATGTTGCCGTGTTGTTGCTATAATTGTACCTCTCTCTCTCTACATCATCTTTTACCGTTCTGAATAACCTTTTATAATAAAAGATCCTTGATTGTTCCACCAAAAAAGGAAAAAAAAAATGATCCTTGATTGTGCTCTTAACCCAATGTGGTCCTACCAGAAGTTGGCATATATATTTCTGTCTCGGGCATTATTTGTTGAAATTATTAAGCATGGTGCTGAAGGAAGAGACATGTTCTTTAAAAGAAATTTGAAAAACATACATCACTCAACAGTAACTGTATTTCTATTAATCAATTGGAAATGTTTGCCCATAAATATGTTGTCCCATGCTTGCTTATTCTCTAAGCTGGTAAATGAGTCAAAATGACCCCCTGGTTTTTTATCATATTACTGTTCAGCTTTTATTTTTAGTTCATTAGACTTCAGCAGCTATATTCATCAATCTCTTGGTATTGCTGGGATTGAGTTTCAACTAAGCAAAAAAAAAACCCATAAATTTGCTAGTTTTCCAGATTTAAAAAGGTTAAATTATGCTAGTGCCCTATTCACATTTGTAGTTTCTATATGACATTTGATTTGATTCTCACAACAAGGGTTTCATTAGACGTTTCTTTGCAGTTTATGCTTCTCCTGGTTATGCGTCATACTCTGCCTGTCATTATTAGTGGACCTGGAGATTATTCATTGACTCTATTCATGGTTAGAGTTGCTGTGCCCTTGTTCCTTGTTCTTTTTCTGTATAAAAGGATGATGACGCCATGAAATCGTAGTGTTGCAACCTGATATCTGACTATTTAGCTTGATTTTGCAGTTACTAATGTTGAGAACAATTGGGATATTGTTGCCTATATATATTATGGTTAAAGCACTCACTGCTATCCAACGTGCTCGCCGACACCAACAGGTTTGTCATGCTTTTACTTCTCTTTTTGCTTTCTGTTAATCTAGCTAAGCTAGTGAAAATGGCCTCTTATCACCTCAGCAAAGCAATGAGACTCAGCATCTTCTCATTTTAGCTCCGACCTTCAAGTCATTCATTGAGTCTTTATAATGGAATAATGAGACTTTCTGATTTTGGTACTTGATCATTACAACGACCATGAGATGCTGCAACTGCATAATTTGATTAATTTCCCAGACCCGTTGCATGCTGATGCTCACTTGAACGTGTTCCTTTTTGCTCCTGATATTTTACAGTCAGTTCATCCTAATTGCATTCGATTAAGTTTGAATTAATTTTCCTTACTGTTTAACCATGAAATAGGATCCCCGTTTTTCAGTTGCCTCATCAGATGAAGAGAATGAGTTGCCACAGCTGCGGCAGCCTCAGTCTCGCTTAATTAGCATATAGTGACTGTTGTTTTGCCCCAAGGAATCCGGTGGTTCTGATACGAAAAGAGAAAAGGAGCAGGGACTATGATGATGGTCTATAATAGCGGAAGCATTCAGAAGGGCAAAAAGATCATAATAGGGAAGAAGTTTGGCCTTCATATCGTATATAACTGTAGCTTAGGAGGTGAAAATTCCATATCTATTACAGAATAATGGGAACGACTCCCAAATTGTCAAGCAAAATGACAGTAGATGTAAACGGTTACCATATATATATATTGCAATCTTCCCTCTAGGGCATTGGGGCTGGTACAAATATGCTTTTATACTTGTAACCTGATTGTGTGAGAACAGAAAGAACCTGCATCCAGCAGAAGGAAATACACGAAAATGCTGGATCTTGGTGCAAAGAGACTTATTCTGGCCGGGCCTGATGTGAACGATTACAACATGAAAATTAACATTTTCAGTGTGACCACCTTTGTTATTTTGTGAATAATTTCTAACTGATAGCTAAACACTTCGTAAGAGTCACAGAGCAGATGTCGATTCTAACAGAGAATACTTGCTAAAGCCATATGAAATAAAATATAGTGGAAAAAGTAAAAAAATTACAATAGTAACAAGGAATGGATTTGACAAAAGAGAACATAACTCCAGGTAAATAACAACATTAGAATGTCACAAGACTCAGAAGCAACAGCCAACAGGGTAGCTTACAACAATAGACGCTAAACCCAAATTAAGACTGAAAAGAAATCACAACACAAAATGACACTCACTTAAAAAACTAGTGTGGCGAACTCCAAATCAGAACAGACCTAGTGGACCATTCTTTATTTATAAAAACCCGAAACCCCAATAAAAACCTCAATAAAAAGACAAGGACGACAAACTCTTCAGCTACATTCACCCATGAGAGAGAAAACATATCATTCCTCCTCAGATTCTGATTCAGCACTCTGGAGCCAATCAATAAAGGGCTTCGTGTTCTTCCATATCTGAGAGTCTTTGTTACTCCCTTTAAGCCCCTCCCCGTACCACTGCAGAATAAACTCTTCCTCCAAGACGTCTGCATCATAAAGAGCTTTCAAAACTAGAGCAACTTCTTTTAACGCACTTGAATTAGCCTTTCCACAGAATGCCTCAATTGCTTTAAGCAAAAACAACTGTGATCCCTCATCTTGAGCAAGAGCAGCAGCTAGATAGCTCTTCTTCTTGATCACCTCCTTTGCAAAACCTTTCTCCACACCATCAAAGAGTGCCTCAAACAAAGCAATTGTCTTTTCCTCAGCAGATCCAGAGAGAGATCCCAGAACAGCCTTCAGCTGGTTTGCGGAAGTAACTTTCTTCATGTTTGCTTTCAACTCATCAACGAGGGTCTGATGCACACTTGATTGACCATTCTCAGCCTTGGGACTCTCTTCATGCACAGGAGAAGCGACAGTAGGACTCCCACCTACCATAGCAACCTTTGCTTTCTTCTCTGATTCATTTGTAGAGAGCATTACCATATCAGCAGTTACAGCACTCAGTTGCTCCTGTATGCGCTGACGAGCAGCCTCAAGTGATGTATCAGTTTGCCACTGAACATCATCTACGTCATCATCAATATCTTCCTTGTCATCAACCTGGCTGTGAGTTGGTGATATGCGATCTTCATCAGATCCACTGGCTTTCTTCTTTGTAGAGGTTTTGTTGCTACCTTCCTTGGTAGAGGAACTTTTCTTTTTTCCATCTTTCTTCAGTTTCTTCAGCTCCTCATCAGCAGCCTCACCTTCCTTAAGACGCTCTTTTTCAGCCCTCCTCAGTCCCTTCTTCTCTTTTGATCCCTTCTTCTGCTCAGGGGGGTTCTTCAAAATGAATGTCGTTAACTTATCCCTCATATCCACATCTGATACAAAACCACACGCAGCACACTTCAACTGTATCATCTGACTCTTAGTAATCAAAATCTCAGTTTCAGGGTTTCCACAACCATAACACTGGACATATTTCTTAATGAAGTTCTCAAGAAGACCAGCAAGCTTAGCAGTGTCATGTGATCCATTAACAAGGGAAGTCCCAGTTTTCTCATCAAATTTAGACTGAGCACCAAGCTCACAGCCAAAATACTTGGTTGTGTAAGAGGCAGGCCTCCCCAATGCCTTTGCAATATCAACCATGTTAACTACATTTGTTTTGATACCATTTCCTCGGCCTTCAATTTTGGTGATCATTTTAGGCATTTTGTACCTGTAGAAGGCATCATCACTATTGCCAGCACCAATGTTCTGCAAAGCCATCTTGATCAACAATTCAAAACAAAAACTCTTGACGTCACAGGCAGCAAATACCAGAACTCAGGGTAAAGGTAGTAGTATCTTTCTCTATAGTTTTCTGACAGACAACAGAAGGCTGATCCTCAGCAATCAGAAAAGGTTGCGGCCAACTGCAACCGTGAAACTCTGGGTATTCTCGAAATGGCCCGAGATGCATGCAGTCAATTTTGTTGGAAAAATGACTGTTCTTTTTTCTAGCTGAAGGACAATATTCTCCAAGCAACCCAATAGTTCCCAAATAGTGGAGGGCCTGTACGGACATAAAAGACTCTTCAACGGTAACACCCTTCACCTTGAAAATCTGCTGATAGCAGCAGCACCACCTATAATTTCCAAACAAATGATGCAAAGGTTTGTTAGCACTTAACAGTTACATACAGTTTCAAGATGAAGCTCTAGAAAATAAAAATAACAAAGTCTAGATTTATGCCAAAACAATTGCAACCATCAAATTACAGCACAACTCAAAAAATTTTCAAAGATACACACCAAGTCCATTCGGCCCTAAGATATTTCATTAATACAATAATATTTAATATCTTTCCATGGTCAAAATCACTAGCTGCAATTTTTGGGAAGGTTTTGGTAATTTTCCATATCACAGCAAGACTGTATCTATAGATTCAGCAGTATTCAGCAGAATCCAAATCCAATAAAATTTGCAGAAATTTTTATCACCAGTTTCAACTTCTAAACATCTTAACAGCTGATACAAATCAAAATAATTTAATCTTTGACAACTAAAACAAATCCTTTTCAGATTTTCACTACTAGAAAATCAAACCATAACAATACACAGTCCATAATCACATCTACCTCCAAACAGAATCAGAAGCGACACAAAAAGTCAATCGAGAGAACAATCTAGACAATACTTGATTTATCTTCAAAATACTATTCTGATTATCTCTCGACAAAGCTGAGATTCATCCAGATCGATCAAAAACAATCAGTATGATCAAATATTAATAGATGCCGCTTAATCTAAATCGCAAAGAACAAATAAACAGCTAACAAAATCGAAATCTAAATAAAACCGATCGTCAAATAATCCCTTAGATCTAAAGAAAACCGGAGCTCAGGTAGCCTTACCTGTCGTCGGAAGATCGACCGGAGATTGAGCTTGACTGAGGGGAAAACACGGAAAAGGATGATTCGAGAGAAAGAGAGAGGAGATTAGGGTTTTTGTGATGCTTGATGTTTGGCTGTGGCGAAAGAAACGTAGCCCTAGAGGTTATTTATATAGGGTTGGAAGGGAGGCTTTGGGAACACCACAGATACGGCGCTGAATCATGTCGTTTCGACGACAGCCAATCGATTTTGCCGACTTCATTAGGGGGAAATTTGTTGCTTTACCAAAATACCCTCGATCATCATTATTCTGAACTCATGATTCCATGTTGGGAATGCAGGGAACATGGATATAGATGTAAATTCAAAAAAAAAATTTAATTATGTTTTTTTGATTATTTGAATGCTGACAGAAAAAGGAAAGATTATCTAGGTGGAATGGATCATTCCTAATTAGGTCATTTAACCTCCGTTAACATTTTTCCTTTTATATTATACTAAATTTAATAATATTTGTGATAATTATTATTAATCCGTAGATAAAATATTATTAACTATCAACATACAAAAAAAATTAAAGAATTA